CAGAAGGATTGCCAGAGCCCAGCAGGTCAAGGCTGGCGTGGCCATGAGTGTGTCACTGCACTCCAGCCTGGGCGATGAACTGAGACTCCCAACTTAAAAAAAAAAAAACACCGGGCTCAGTGGCTCAGCCTGTAATCCCGCGACTTTGGGAGGCTGAGGTGAGTGGATTGTCTGAGCCCATGGGTTCAAGACCCGCCTGGGCAGCGAGACCTCATCTCTACAATAAATCAAAAAATCAGCCGGGCATGGTAGCGCATGCCTGTAATTCCGGCTACTTGGAAGGCTGAGGCGGAAGGATCGGAGCCCAGCAGGTCGAGGCTGCGGTGGCCAGGAGCAGCCACTGCACTCCAGTCTGGGCGACAGAGTGAGACTCCAACTCAAAAACAAACAAACAAACAAACAAAACACTACTTAAGCCGGACATAGTGGCATGCACTTGCAGTCCCAGGTACTCAGGAGGCCGAGGTGGGAGGATCACTTAAGCCCAAGAGTTTGAGATTCACTTGGGCAACAAAGCAAGATCTCATCTCTGAATAAAAAGATAAATAAAATCATTGCCTATTCCAAGATCATGAAGATTTACACCTATTTCCTTCTAAGTGTTTTATAGTTATCACTCTTATATTTAAGTCTTTGATCCATTTAATATTTGTGTATACTACGAGATAGGGATTCAACTTCCTTCTTTTTCATATAGGTATCCAGTTGTCCCAGCACTGTCTGTTGAAAAGGCTATTCTTTCCTCATCGACCCTGGGTTGTTGTCTTTTTTAGTAATAAAAGTTCTTTAGATATTCTGGATACAAGTAAGCTCTTTGACAGATGTGTTCTGCAAATATTTTTGCCCACTCTGTAGCTTCCTTTTCTTCTTCTGGTGTCTTTTGACAAGCAGAGTTTGATTTTTTGATGAATTTATCCTTTTAAAATTTTATGGTGGTTATTTTCTGTGTCCTAGCTAAAAAGAAAAATTTGGCCTACTCAAAGGTCAGAAACGTATTTTACTATGCTTCCTTCTAGAAGATCTAGATCTTGAAATGATTTTTGTTTACAGTGTGAGGAAAAGTCTTTTGGTGAAAAGTCTACCCCTTTCCCATTTAATTGCTTGGGTGCCTCTGTTGAAAATCAGTGGAGTTTTAAGTTGTGGGACCTCTCTTTTTTACCATCGATATACTTTCCCCTTAACACTACACTATCTTGATTACTGTAATTTTATAGTATGCCTATAAGTCAGGAATTGTAGATCCTCCTACTTGTTTTCTTTCCAAGATTATTTTAGTAACTCTTTTTTTTTTTTGAGTCAGGGTCTCACTGTCACCAAGATTGGAGTGCAGTGGCATGATCACAGCTTACTGCACCCTCAACTTCCTGGACTCAGGCAGTCCTCCTGACCTCAGCCCCCCGAGAAGCTGCACGTCACCATGACCAGCTAGTTGTTTTTTAAAACTTTTTGTAGAAATAAGGTCTCACTGTGTTGTCCAGTCAGGTCTTGAACTACAGGGCTCAAGCGATCCTCCTACCTCAGCCTTCCAAAGTGTGGGATGACAGGCATGAGCCACTGTGCCCAGCCCTTTCTTTCCAGTCGTTATGACTTTTGCTTCCCATGTGCACTGGTTGGAACCTCCACTACAATGTTGGGTAGAATGAGCAAAATCAACAAAGTCAACATCCTTGTTTTGTTCTAGCATTGAGGGAAGGCATTCTTTGCCACTATTGTGATGTCCAAAGTTTTTCAGAGGTCTTCTATCAAACTTCAGAAGTTTCCCAAGTGTTGCATTTTGACAAATGATTTTCTGTATTGAGATGATTATGTGGTTATTCTCCTTTATTCCATTCATATGGTAAACTGTATTGAGTGTTAAAAATCAACTTTTACTTGGGATAAACTCACTAGGTCACGGTGCATTATCCTTTTTAATGTATTGCTGTATTATTTTGCTAATATATTGAGAATATTGTCTCTATGTTTATGGTGGGGTATTGGTCTGTAATTTTTTGTTTATTTTTAGAGACAGGGTCTCCCTGTCAACCAGGCTGGATTGCAGTGGCACAACTATAGCTCATTGTAGCCTTTTTCTCCTGGGCTCAAGTGATGATCCTCCTGCCTCTGCCTCCCTAAAGTGCTGGGATTATAGGCATGAGCCACTTCAGCTGGCCAGGTCTGCAATTTTGATGTAATTTTTTTTCAAGTTTTATCAGGTTGTATTTAGGTATACCATTGTCACTTGTTTTGTTTGTCATATCTGGTTTTGTTCTTTTTTGAAGAACTTCCTTTAACATTTCTTAAAAGGGCAGGTTTGCTGGTGACTGTTTCTGCTTTTATTTTCCTTTGTTTTTGAGGATTTTTTCACTAGATGTGGAATTCTGTGTTTTTTTTTCTTAAACTACTTTCAAGATATTTGTCTATGATGAACAAACATTGTTCCTGTGCACATACTGTTTTCTCTCTGACTGCATTCAAGGCGTCATCTTAATTTTTGGTTTCCAGAATCGTGATGCTACTTGCGTGGATGTGGTTTGCCAGTTTATATTACTTGGGACTTTCTGAGCTTCTTGGATCTGTATGTTTTCCCCTCAGTTTGAACATTTTGAGCCATTATTTTTTCAAATACTTTTTCTATCCATCTTCTCACTCTGGAACTCCAGCTATGTCTTATTTGATCACTTGATAGCCATAGGTCACTAAAGTTCTTTCATTTTGGTTGGGCATGGTACCTCACGTCTTGGAGGATCGCTTGAGCCCAACAGTTCAAGACTAGCCTGGGCAACATACTGAGACTGTGTCTCTACAAAAAATAAAAAAAATAATGAGCCAGGCACGGTGGCACAGGCCTATAGTCCCAAGTACTCAGGAGGATGAGGCAGGAGGATTGCCTGAGCCCAGAAGGTCAGAGGCTGCGGTGAGCCATAATCATGCCACTGCACTCCAGCCTGGGCAACAGAGTGAGACTCTGACTCAAAAAAATAAAATGAAAATGTTCCTTCATTTTCATCTAGTTTTTCTCTGTTCTTCATATTGGATAATTTGTTTGGATCTATATTCAAGTTCACTGGCCTTTCTTCTGCATACAATTTTTTCAGATTTTGTCCCAAGTTTATAACTATTATCTATAGAAAGGTTAATCTCTGCCACTTCCGAAAGTGAAACCTTGTGTTCTTAAAAAGCCTCCACAGAATCTCTACCAACACTAAGCCTGCATTAAAGTAAACAGTACTTTATAGAAAACTAAGTACCTAGACCGTGGTATGTCGTGGCTTCTTGCAGATATGTGTTCAGTGAGTTGTAATTACACACTATCTTTTGAAAAAGTCACAACAGCAGGTACAGTGGCCTGCACCTACAGACCCAGCTACTCAGGAGGCTGGAACAAGAAGACTGCTTGCGCCCAGGAGTTCAGGGATGCAGTGTGCTGTGATTTCACCTGTTGAATAACCACTGCACTCTAGCCTGAGCAACATAACAAGAACTCTGTCTCTTTTAAAAAAAAAAAAGTCACAGTGCCTTCTTACACAGTGAATATTGGTTGAAACTATTCACTGGTCCTTTTAGACAAGGAATCCTTAACTAACTGTTCAATTTCAGGAAAATGTCTTCTGTCCAGAATGCTGCACACTGCCTTTGCTCATTCTTCCCAGCGAGGCAGCTGTTGTCAGCATCCTCTTTATAATAAAGCCTCAACAGCTAGCCCACCCAGTTGTAGTCAGCTGCAAGGCAAGGCCAGGACTGAAGCTTAATATGGATGACATACTAGAGATTTCTAACTGGATTATTGTGTTCCCTGCTCCACATTCTGGAAATTAGCAAAAAATTCCGTTTTAAATGCTTGGCTTTATTACTAAATGCCAGGCATTACTTGAAACCCTTCCAAAGGCATGTGTTTTGTTTTTCCTTTCTAAAGCTAATGCTCCTGAGAAGACAGCATTTTTCCCAGGAAGCTGTGTTTCCAGCCCAGGTGGATTCAAGAGATGGTCCTTCCTGGATACCGAAAAATGAAGCCAAGGTGACCTCACCATGTTGGCACACTCGGCTTCTATGGAGTGGCAAGACAGTGACACTGTACTTGGCTGTTTAGTGTATTTTATATAGTTCCTCTTCAAAGTCTTATATCTTCTATGCTCTGCACTGTTAATAGTAACCTCTGACATAATTGTAAATATTCAGCTTTTTGATAACTTTTATATTTTTGAAATATCTCCTTTAAAATAAAATTATTGACTAGATATTTGTAACATTTCCTGAATTTGGAGAAGATAGCACTGACACACACTCAAATTTGGGCAATGGAGCTCTTAAAACAGTGTTAAAAAATTGAAATGAGAAGTTAATACAAGGCTGTTTAGCAGAATCAGTCCTAGAATGAAAACATCAAAAATCAATAAAACCAATCTTGGAAAGAATGAGTGAAACTATAAGCTTAAATCTGCTATTTCTATTGCATACTCTAATTCTTCTCACAAAATTAAATCATTTAACTTCCTCTCAAAATATATTATTTGGAATCTTCCCTGAGGCTGTTTGAAGGTTCCTTCCCCATATCGTATGTGCCACATGTACCACACGCAACACACACGTGCACACACATGCACCCTCCAAGGGAGTCCATACTCTTCCTACAACGTCAGTATATGCTTCCTTGCCATGCAAGACCAAAATCACCAGTCTGATCAGCTGGTCGAACTGAGTCATGGTGTCTTCTTTGAATCAGATATGTTTTTACAATATGGCCCCAGCAACCTGAGCATTACAATAGTGACCGTGAGTCTAAGCTAGGGCCCAAGGTGCCCATAATGTTTCCTAGCATCCAAGTATCCCACCTGCATGATACCTCCAGCTGTATGACCTGTCCTTCCCTCCCAGTGTCTGGCCAGAGGATAGGCGAGGGGCCTTGGCCTTACTAAGTGCATGGTACGAAATACTGCCATAAAACCCATCCACAGTCCTGCTTCTTCTATCACTGGAAGGATTTGTATGGTTATAGGAATAAGAAGCATAGGCACTTGGGATGTGTGAGGTGAACACATTATATTTTGCAAGTTTCAAGCCATAGACTTTTACCCATGAGCATAAGTATATCATAACTTTTTAGGAAGACACCCGTCCTAGTACATATAACAATCTGCTCCATGTTAATAACTTCAAGAGGTCAAATAATAGTGCTACAGAACTGCCAAAATTTAAAAAGATGAAGGAAAAAAGCTAAATAGTCTGTTACAGATAACAAAATGGTCAAGACACAATGGATCTCAAAAAGAGCATCTACAAAGTTTTATGCTGCAAAGACAATGTGTGGCATAAGTGGCTCCAATAAAGACTTAATCACCCCCAAACCACTACACAACCACCAACTCCCACCTGCCATTAGCCTGTCATTCCCCTCATGGTCATGAAGGCTTCAAAGGACTCAGACCTGTGTTGGGATCCTCCATATAGTAAAGGGAGTATTACAATTTCTAATCCTAAAAAATTTATTTTATATGCATATTATGCCAATCTGTGTTTAGAGCACTTAAAAACTAAATCAGAATGAACAAGTGAAGAATACCGTTCACTGTGAGATTATAGTCCCTTTCCGGGTACAGAGCAACTAGCAAGACATGACTTGTATATCCAAAAGTCATAGAAATGGAAGAATGTGAGTAAAAAAGCCATACTCACCCACTGGTGAGGAAATCTTTACTGATGCAGAAAGTCTGAAGCCAGGCTTAACAGAGAGGGGTGTGACTCGGCAAGTGAAGTCTTAAGGCAATGTTTTATTTCCGTAACCAATTAATCTCCATGAAGGTCATTTTTCACACTGGTAAATACATTTTAAATGTTTCAAGAACTGTATATCTCGTATCAGTCCCATAAGGGCAGGGAATACTCTCCTTAGCTTACATTCCTTTTAGCATATACCTCACAGAGGTAGGCACATACCTCTGAACATGTACCAGCAAGATTGAAAAGTAGCCAGGCACCTAAGTTCCAGGCTAGATCACAGCCTCAGGGCCACTCAGCTAGTAGAGTTACAGGAACAACCTAAACTTCCACCAGAGTTTGTGTGGAATCCATCACAGGACAGAACCCCATCTGCCAGGGACAAAGTGAACAAGAGCCAGTGTTCATGTCCTTCGCCAGAGGGAGCCTGAGAATCTGCCCAGCCTCGGGCCTACTGGCCTGACCCCGATGGGAAGGATCAGTGTGTGTGACCATCCTTCTGCAGTCCCCACGCCCTCTGGTGACAGCAGAGCTGTGGTCAGCACAGTCAGAGGGAATGAAACTGGGAAATGAAGTCCTGACTCTTCAGCCGCCAATGTGACACTCCACACAACTGTCAGCAAGGAATACAGCGAACCTCTCATCCAGTCATCTGCAAATCCACAAGGAGAGTCACATACCAATGCCACATTTTGCTGTACAAGATGACAAGCTTAAGAAGAATCTGTACATTTCTCCTGTGGAACATTTTTATTCCTAATTTATATTTGACAATGTACAAATAATATCCAGTTATAGGTGGTGACTTTTGTATTATGATTTATTTACAAAATTTCACCACATAATAGGAAATACCTTTTAAAAACTCAGCATCAGTCCTATATAAAGGCTATTAGGATAAATTCTCAAGCTACAAAAGATGCCTTAGTGCCACTGCCCCAGGCTGATGTGAACTAAAATCAGACCCCACGCCCAATTGTTCGTTCCAATTATGTACAGTCATTCTGAAGCACAACAAACTAACTCGATGGGCGGCACAGTGAAGGACTCAAACGGTCCTATAACCTCTATAAGAGGTGTACGTGAGCCTGCTGGTCAGTCCTTCTAGCTGTACTGCCCTTGATTTATAATGGGGTCGCAGGTCCATCCCATTATGCTAAAACATGGTTGTTCTGGAAAAAACAAGACTTTCTCTAGACCAGCTAACTGGTCGGGAGGGTGAGTCAAAAGTGGCTGTCGGTAGTGAAAAATGGTTTCATTTCTTTGAACTTTTTCCTTTTCCTTTTCCTTTTCTGGACTCCTTGTCTTTTTCTGGTTTTGATGGCTTTGAAGATCTTGTCTTTTTCTGTTGGGAGGAAAAAGATATAAAAATAAGTTTGTGGCTGTGTTTATAAGTACATGATATAAATAAGTTCATCTCTGCAGTTTATCTAATTGCTATCTGCAACGTAATTTAAAAAAGAGAAAGGCCAAGCGCAGTGGCTCATGCCTGTAATCCCAGCACTTTGGGAGGCTGAGGCGAGAGGACTGCCTGAGCCCAGGGTTCAAGACCAGCCTGGGCAACTTGGTGAGGTCTCCTCTCGGTGAGGTCTCCTCTCTACAATAAATCAAAAAAATTAGCCAGGCATGGTGGTACACACCTATAGTTCCAGCTACTTGGAAGGCAGAAGCAGAAGGATTACCTGAGCCCAGCAGGTCGAGGCTGCAGTGGCCACAA